ATAATAATCCATAAAGTAGATGAGTGAACAAATTCTACTGAAATAATACTACTATAGAAATTTAGAGAAAAGTAAAGTCTTAACTTCAAACTTATATAGACTTTATTAAAGATCAAATACAAGACCTACATTTCAAATCCTCTGCGGACATTCATCGAACACATGCTAAAATATTTCACAATTTTTAAAAATTATTATTGATTATTTTTCTATCCCATCTGAAGAGATTGTATGCAAATTAAATAAAATAATTGTGCTGTGTTAAGGTGTATAGATACAGTATAATAAAAATAAAAAGATAAAAAAAACCCTAGAGTGGGAAGAAAAAAAAAAGAGAAAAGTGGAAAAGAAAAACAAAATATAAAAAAAAAAATTACCTGTTGTAGTTCTCTTGGCGGCGGAAGGACTGGGTCAGAAGGTGAGTTGATTTGGAGAACGCAAAATAGAGAAAGATTGGGGTCTGAGGGTAAAATCGATTTGCAGAACATAGAAAAATGAATGGAAGAATTTGGAGGGAAATGATAGGGACTATTGTGCAAATATTTGATAAATTAATTAATATTTGATAAATTAATTAAAATTTGATTTTTAACAAAATAAAAAATATAAACAAATTGGGTGAACCGGTTAAACTGGGTAAATTTAGACCGATGATCCCAATCCAACTCAATGGAATTTAATTTAATTCATTTTTATTGATGTTGAGTTTTGGCGACCGTGACCCACATCTGGTGCATACCCCGACCCGGTGACCCAATTTGCCCCAGGATGCCATCTGATCCGTTCATTCTAGGGTTTTAATTCTAGTTGTCTATCCATTCATATATATATTTATATATGAGTGTCGCTTTCATTCCGAGACATGCGCAGCCGCCTGTATTAATACAGTTCTCTCTTCTCGTTTGGGTTCGCTCTTCTCGGTTTGCTTGAGATTTCCGGTGAGTCTAGTTTTTGAGAGGCAATTATTCCGTGGATATTTGTGGAGAGATTAGTGATTTTTTTAGGTCCGATTTTCTCTATTTCGAGTTGTTTCACTTGGGATTAGGGGATTAGGGTTCTTTGGATAGGATAGAGGCGCTCCGGTGCCGTTGGACCGAGTTCGAATGTCCGGTGTTTTTGCCTCCTTTTGTTAATAAGGGTTAGCGTTATAAATTTGAGCCACAAATCGGAATTCTTTGTTGGTGTTTGATTACTGCTTTGTGTGTTTAGATGTTCTACAAAATAAAATCTTTATTTAGATTTTTTTTTTTATTGTTTTTCATCGGTATCCAAAAACTTACACAACCTACATGAAATTTAATTTTTAAATATTCTTTATAAATATAAGATGTTCTTGATACTATAAAATTGATGTGAATCGATTCATTCTACTTTTGATTTATTTTTAAAATCCAAACATTGCACTAGCATGATGAGAATGGCTTTGCTTTAAAACTGTTAATGGTTTCATACAAACTGCAGGCATTGCCCGAGTATGAATGCTTCTGTGGTAAACAATGCCACAGGATGCATTCACCTCTTTGGAAGTTTCTGGCCGACGGCAATTTGAAGCTTCCCAAAACTGTTGTGAAGATTTTGAAGAAGAAAGTTAAGGAAAAAGCTTTAACGCCGAGCCCATATTAATTACAGTGCAGCTCTCACTCTCATCGATATTCGGACTTCTCGAAGATAAACGGGTGCGAGTTGGTCATTTTACCTCTCTCTGTCATCCTACTGCACATTAATAATTGCAGTGAAAAGGTGGTGATGGGTCTTTATCCTAATTGGGTATTGTATAATTTCTTGTCAACGAAAGACAATAGTAAGGATATAAAGCAACAGAGTTTTGAGTTGAGAAGATGGCAGCGGGGTGCATGAAGCCATCCACCTGGGTTGTTGGCTCCGATGGCATTGCTTTTTCACAAAGTTTGTTTATGTTTTTGCTTAGTTCTATGAATTTTTCGAGCTTGATTTTGTAAATGCTTCTTGAATTGAATCTTCGTCCTTAACTCATTTTAGTTACATTTATGTGAATCTGGATTTGAGCTCTTGATATGTAATTTGTGGGCCACTATGCTTTCAATTCTTTTATCTTAACTTTTTTTGCATTTCTTTTTAAATAACATCTCAAGTTTCTATCGGTATCCCAAATACACAAATATATTTTTAGGTACTTTTAAAATTTTGTCTTCAATAAATTAATACAAACTGTCTTCATAAAAAGAAACAACTAAGCATATTTATTTACCTTCCGCACCAGCCCCTAATTACTGCTGCCATTACTAACACAAAATGCGTTCTTCCTCCTACCCCTCCAAACCTACACAACAAAAAAAACCTACCCCAATTCAACTTGGAGTGCAGAAGTGCAGAATTATAAAAGTATAAACAAAAGAGCACACTCAAATACGACCTCATACCAGCACCATGTTCGTATCTTTTCATCGGTGTTTGTACCAAGGTTGAAGCTGATTTGCCTATACCATCACTAATGCTTTGGAAAGCCTTTCAGAAACTACAATTTAGATCAAAAGCCGTGTTAGACAAATTGCTGGTCCTGGGAATAGCATATTCTTCCTTTACTGCAGTATTCTTTTTCAAATTAAGTGAATTCAGGGGAAGAAGTATTTCTTTTCCGAACATCACAAATATTGAATGGTGATGATTAAATATTAAGGGGAAAAATAATAATAATAATAATAATAATAATAATAATAATAATAATAATAATAATAATAATAATAATATATTTGAAAATATGTAAATAAATAGTACAATAATAATAGTGATGTGATCTAACAATGCATGTGTGTTTAAATCTACATAGTACAGTAATAACTATGATGTGATTTAACAATGCATGTGTGTTCAAACATATCTAGTACAATAATAAATTATGATGTGATCTAAAAATACAATTAATAAGAAAGCTCAACAAGACAAAACTTGAAATGATTGATCACTACTACAATGATAAAAATAAATATTGTGATGTGATATAACAATGCATTTTAAAAAATAAATTGATTTGATTTAACAAGATATAATATATATAAATAGTATATAAGTTATAGAGTGTCTAAGTTTTTCTATAAATATGCTTGCATTTTACAAAATAAAACACACAAACTTTCATCAAAGATCTTTATATTTTCTCCCACTAGCCTACATTCAAGTTTTAACAATGGAGCAAAACTCTCAAAAATCTTCCAATTCTCAAAAGCCTTTTTCGTTTCAAAGTTTTACGAACATGCTTGGAAATGAAGATTGTTCGCAAAACTCTTTCAATCCTAATGTTACTCAAAACTTTCAAACATCTGTCCCAAATTTCTATGCTTTATCGTATTATTCTATTCCTCCACACTACTATTATCCTCAAAATTTTCAACCTTTTGTAGGTTCATCATATCCTCAAAATTTTCAATCATCTGGAGGTTCTTTTAATCCTCAAAATTTTCAATCATTTCAAGGTCCATTTCATCCCCCATCGATGGGTTTTACGCAAAATATACAAATGGAAAGTATTCCTGAATTTTGCACACAAGCCAATCAACAAGATGAAGATGACGTACAAATCATTGCTCCAACGACAGAGACCAAAAAAAAGTGGACTCGTGAGGAAGATTTGCTTCTTATTAGTGGATGGCTTAATACAAGCAAAGATGCACTAGTAGGCACTGATAAAAAAAGTACTACTTTTTGGAAAGAAATTTCTCAATATTTTAATGATAACAAATCTGAAGCAGGGGTGTCAAGAAGTGTAAACCAATGCAAGAATCGTTGACAAAAAATAAATAAAGCCGTTTCAAAATTTGTTGGGTGCTTTCAACAAGCTAACCAACAAAATATAAGCGTAAAATCTTTTGATGATGTCTTGGAAAAGGCACATCAAATATATTCTGCATATTGTAAGAAAGCATTTGTTTATGAACACGCTTGGCGTGAATTAAAACTTGAGCCAAAATGGAGTACCAGTCATCGTGGTACAAATGTTGTCAATGAACCATCTTATGACAGTGGAGTTGGCCCGAAGAGAACTAAAATTAATGAAGATGGTGGATACTCGTCTAATTCAAATCCAACAACACCACATAGTGATGGAGTAGAAGAATCTCCCTCAATTCGTCCTCCGGGTGTGGAGGCGTGTAAAAATAAAGGCAAACTGGCATGGAAGAAATCTTCAAATTCACTTTCCTCCGATCATTTTGAAGAACTGCAAGCTCAAAGTAAAGAAGTTGGATCACAATTTGCTGGCATGACACAATTCGTTGAATATCTACCGTACATTTTCGATTGACTTGTTTGATAAAGGCGAAACAAAGCACTACTAGTACCAAACCTGCAGGCTATTATTAATGTCATACGAAGGAAGAAAAAATCAAAAGCAATGAGCGTATTGCCAAAATGAAACTTTATCGAACACTAGTGGAGAAAGATAATTTGACGGAGCAGATCTACTTGTTAAGGCTAAATTGTTCGAAAAGTTGTTTTAAATATTCTTTAAATTATATGTATTTTGTTCTATGTCATTCAAATTATCTTGTCTTTTATTTTATATTAATATCTTATTATTAATTATGTACGTATAATTAATTATAAACTAAATATATTTATTGTTTAATATAATTTTATATTATTTAATTGCTTTAAAATTTATAATTATATTTATTTAATAAATTAAATTAAATTTACTAATATTGATTTGTTCAATAGAATTATATAATATTTGTATTTATATATATTAAATTTCAAATTGATAAAATATATTCAATATTGGTATCATTTGTAGAATATAAAATATTATGAATTATAAAAATACTACAAAATTTAAATATAATAATAAATTCAATATAAATTACAAAAATAAAATATATATAATATATAATATATATATACATATATATACATTCCTAATGCCATGTGGGACACATGGCAATAGAATTGCATCTTCCCAGCATCTCTCATCTCTGCAGAGATGCTGGGAAGCGAGGTGCTGTAAATTTATTTTTTTTTCTAAAACGATGATGTGGCGCATCGCCGTTGCGGATGGCCTTAAGGCTTCATTGGATAATGAAGATGAGGTACTGCTGAATGCAGAGTTAGATCCAACATTATAGGAAGCAGCTAATGTCGTATCCTCACCTGCTTACAGCTCTCACTCTCATCGGTATTCGGGCTTCTCGAAGATAAACTGGTGCGAGTTGGTCATTTTATCTCTCTCTTATCCTACTGCACATTAATAAATGCAATGAAAAGGTGGTGATGGATCTCTATCCTAATTGGGTATTGTATCAATTTTATGTCAACAAAAGACAATAGTAAACATATAAAGCAACAAGTTAAGGAGCCTTCTTGTAATATAGTAATTATGAATGATTAATTTAATAAATAAAAATAAATGAAAGTTCTTATATAATAATTTGTTTAAAGTGTATAATATAGCTATTGACAATAATGAATAGTGAATTGGTGATCATGTTACAGATACAATGTAGCCCTTCCCATATCATATTCTCTTAATAAAATGGGGAAGTTTGCTCGGTGCTGCCGATAATTCGCTAGAGTCATCCTGCAATCACTCCAGCTGAGTTGAGAAGTGACCTATTTGAATTGGTTTTGACTTGAGAGCACGGAGCCATCCAGCTGGGTTGTTGGTTCCGAAGGCATTACTTTTTCACAAAGTTTGTTTATGTTTGTGCTTAGTTCTATGAATTTTTCGAGCTTGATTTTCTCAATGCTTCTTGAATTGAATCTTGGTCCTTAATTCATTTTAGTTGCATTTATGTGAATCTGGATTTGAAATCTTGATATGTTATATGTGGGCCAAACAATGGTTTTCTCCACACTCATTTTCCACACATTGACACTATGTTTTCAATTTTTTTCATCCTAACTATTTTTGCAATTCTTTTTAAATAACATCTCAGTTTCTATCACTATCATAAATAAGCAAATATGTTTAGGTACATTTAATAAATTAATACAACTGCCTTGATAAAAAGAAACAACTAGGCATTTTTGTTTATACATTAATTTATTTACCTTCTGCAACCAGCCCCTAATTACTGCTGCCAAATTACTAACACAAAATGCGTTCATCCTCCTGACCCTCCAAACTTACACAACAAAACAGAAAAACCTACCCTATTCAACTTGGAGTGCAGAAGTGCAGTATCACAGAAGTATAAACAAAAGAGCACACTCAAAGAAGACCCCCATACCAGCTCCGCGTTCATATCTGTTCATCGGTGTTCATAGTAAAAGAAATTAGGATATTATAACCTATTGAATTCCTTCTTGGACATCATTGGGTTTACTTGTTCTTACAATTGTCACACTCTGCTTTCTACGTGGCACGGTACAGAAGGTGGAATGCTTGCAAGAATATATACTCTGCCTGTAGGAGGATATTATGGGCTCCTGCTGCCAAGAAGTTGTCAGAAAGTTCTCAGAAGAAGTTGTCCAATGACTATGTAATAGCAATGATTCTCATAATCTTAGTGTATCATATTACATGTGTGTATGATTGTGTGTATCCTCTGTTAATAGGAAGTGTATTGTATTATATATATATGGATTGATCAATAAAACAAACATATCAAAGTAATCATACTATGCTTGTTGGATCATTTAAAATAAACAACAAATCATGTCACCCAAAACTAGACAAAAATGAAAAGGGCGGAGGAATAGACTCAGCACAAATAGCCCGAAAAGTATGCATTCTACATTGTATATTTAGTAACAGTAAAATCCACATTGGTGTCTTCCCAATTTGACAAGAGAACAATGCAAAGTTATTCACAACAATAATATATTTGTACTCAATAATTATAACATTATAGTAGGAATAAAAAATTCTACATGATTACTAATCTTTGAGTAACAGAATAAAACAAAGTACAAACCAAGCAGAGGCTTTCATGCTTCCAATAAGCTATAAATTGAAGAGACATGTCATGGGAAAACTTTAATAAAAGTTCATCTGAGTTTATGAAGTAGATTATTGAAACTTTATTGAATTTAAAGGTAAAATTATACTAAAGAATTTTAAGTGTGGAAAGTAGAGTATAGATGAAGTGAGGTGAGTGGCGATTGGAGTGCATAATGTGTTCGCATGGTGATGGAGGTGAGAACGTTGAATGAATGTTCACAATCTCGCGTAGGTGTCTATGGGTGAAGTCGATTAATTTTTATTGAGAGTGATAAGTTTGTAAGCATGCATAAATAGTAACAAATGATCTTTGGGGATTAAAGTATATGTGATATATGTATAAATTTCGTAGGGAGAGTGACACATGCAAGTTGATATATAAGACTTATGTTGGCTAATGAACTTCCATATGCAATCATGGAAAGATAAGTTAATTCCCAATAAATTCAAGAATTGCATACTTATCCCAGATGGTAGAACTTTAAACTATCATTTCAATAAATGACAATTACTTCCATTAAGATACGTAACCTCTTTGTATTCTCCTCGATCGTTCAAGCAAGTCAATACACCAATAATTTAAACCAAGCTCTAATTGAACTCTGATAGGATTACGGAACCCTATTTTGCAGGATTCTGCAAAGAGCACTAATTATGATCAAGAATCTTTCAAATCAATGATAAAACTTGGGTGGTCCAAACCAAAGAGAACAGCTCCTCCACATTCAAACAATGTACAGAAGACCTTCAAGAAATCTTATAATAATACTCCAACAGACAATTTATGACAAAAGCAAGCAGCAATTAAAAAACAAAAATATAAAATCACCCCCTCCCCCTATAAATAGGATAAGCAAAAAGACCTGGTCCAGTATATCTCAAACAGCAGACCTCATGGCTTCAAATGTCATAAATTTATGCATTTTTAATCACATGGAAAGGGAGTTCAACCCAACAATTATACAAAAATTTCTTCGGGTGTGGGCCATGTTTGGGATGTTCACAATATCCCAGCTGGCTAGCGATTTTTACCGGCTTCAGCTTACCAAAATTAACCACCACCCCAGTCAAGATGGGCTTTCCATTAAATTATGAGTTATTATCCACATAGAAAGGGAGCTCGAACTAGTAACTAAGCAAAAATTTCATCGGGTGTATGCCGTGTTTTCTAAGTTCACATTTGTGCAGCTCGCGTGCAGTTGTTACAAGCTGTCACTTATAAGACATAAATCCTTCACCTCTCTGTCTGTCTCTCCCTCTCTCTTTTTCTCTCTCTCAAGCAATCTCAAGCAAGAGCCAAGAGAAGGAAAAGGAAAGAGCGGTACAAAAACTATATAAGTTGAGATGGCTTTTCGAAAACAACATAAAGTTATCTTGTGTGAGGAGAAGGAGGATAACAGAGCTGCAAAGGCTCGAAAGTTATATAAAGAAAATCCAACATATAAACCTACATCCGAGATTAGGCTTCTAAATAAAAGCATTTTGTGTTTGATTCTGAGATTCATTTTGCTTGTTATTATGTGGGGGGTTTTGACTGTGCGTCTACTTTGCATTGTGTCAAGAAAAGGTGGTTGGAATGGGGCAGGAAGAATAAAAGGGCTCCGAGAAAGTCAAGAAACTTGAAATCTAGAGATGCTCAGGTGAGATGTTCTTACCGTGTTTTTTTCTATCTTAGTTATATATCTTGGTGCGTGGTTTTAATTAATTTTTTAAATATTAGAAATAGCAACATATATATTTATCTATAGTTTGGTTTGAGCACTATGAATTGGCTTCTAATCAAGTCTTACATTTTGAATTGCAATAACAATATTTAATATTGGGGACATAGATTGGTTCAATGGCCTTTAATACAATTGGTTTGGGCAAGCACAATGACAATAGTAGGAATTGGTTTCAAAAGAGATTGAAGATTGGAATTGTGGAATATGAATTTTCTACCGGCATGCTATATTGAAATTAAAGGTCATTTTACATTAGAGACTTCAATTTTTTGTATTTAAAAAAAAAAATTTCCTAATGTAAAATGGGCATAAAATCAAAGAAATTAAAGTAATCTCCTTAAGTTCTATACATTGTACATTCAAATATTGTTTGTGTGCTATTTATTTCTTCCCTGTATATCAAAGAAAATATTAACCATCATCCTTTAGAAGTTTGGTAATAAATAGATCTTAGAATTTTATTTTATTTTATTTTTACTTAGTTTTTTTTTTTTTTTTTATGGTTCATTCATTCATATCAGTTTATTTTATTTTACTTTTTCTTCCACAATTTTTACAAAGGTTTTCATGGATAATTCCAATAATGCAAGGAAGCCGGTAATTTAGGATTTAAATCATTGATTGAATTCTAAATCTAAAATTTTGTGCTACAAAATCCAAAAAGTAGTGATGCACGTACAGACCTATTTGACGATATGAATACTCTATTGAGGATACAAGTGCCCACACTTTGGTAAATGTACGCTGGCATTGAATGTCTTGCATGGATATTGGCTGGTAATTTTTATGAGCTAAGAAATGCTATTTTTAGTATGATTTCAATTAAGATCGAAATCAGCAAACCACATATGCATTTTTGTTTCTCTTAATCTCACTTTACCATATACCTAGGGAATTCTACGATTCTTGTTTGCCCACTTGTAGCACACCTATTAAATTGGTTGATGAATGCGCCAAGGAACATATAGCATCCTATCTGAATAAAAGATGCCGTCTAAGTGGTAGATGGAGGGCGTTTTCCAAAGCACACCAATTACAGAAAGGGGATATAGGGATCTTCGGATCGATTTACACTTGCAAGTTATAGGTAATTTGCAATTACTAATGATGTATTTGAATTGTTTATTGCTTGGGAAGGTAACTTCATGATTAGTTGATAGCTTCAAAATGCTTGCGACATTTCAGTGTTATTTTAGTGCAATATTATTTGTATTTGTCATATTTTTGTTTTTGTGCATGTGCGTGTATTAATTATCAGCAATTCATTTTGCATTTAATATTTTAGATGAATAGCTTTTATTTTGGTTAAAATTTCACAAAGCATTATATCTTGAAGTTGCACATCGTACAAGTGAATGAGCTGGATGTGGGAAGTGCAGCTCTCACTCTCATCGACATTCGTGATTCCGGAAGATAAATTGGTGCTAGTTGGTCATTTTACCTCTCTCTCTCATCCTATTGCACGCTAATAAATGCAATTAACAGCCATGAATGAATCTCTCTGCTACTTGGGTAATGTATCAATTTCATGCTAACGAAAGGAAATAGTAAGCGTACAATTAAGGTAACAAGCTATGGAGCCTTTCTTGTCAGAGAATCCTTAACCAAAGAGGAGTCACATACATTTATAAGTGACGCAGATGGGCATTAGTTTTAAGGTGTTAGGTTCAAAGCTAACAAGGGTAAGGATTAAAAACAATAATATAATTTTCTTGTCTCATATATATTACTTAAACTTGAATCAATTAAACATGTGAAATGGATATGCCTGATTTATTACATATCCACGCTCACATATGACACGACTCCAACTCTTCAACATTTACACACTCTTATATGTGCTTACATTTTTACTTATGTTAAATGGGTCTGATGGTATACTTTTGAAGCAATTTTCTCGTGTAAAATTTATACACTTGATTTAGCTTGAGTGGTTTAAGATGTATAATTAACTAACTCATAATTTGTATTATTTTTAAAGTATAATATTCTATATATATATATATATATATTTTATTTTGTTGAAAAGCTTGAGCCTTCCAAATGGTCTCCGAGTATGTTGAAAAGCCTTGGAAATTTCTGAGCTTTTCAAATGGTCTCGAAATTTAACTATATTATTTTTGTTATAATAGAAAGGTTTGGGAATTTCCGAAGCTTTATTATATATATCATTTTATTTAATTAATAAGCTTCTGAAATTTCTGAACCGGTAAAAAATTCAAATTCCCGCCTCTTTTCCTTCTTCATCTTCCTCTTTCCCTTTTTCTTCTTCCCCTTCTTCTTCTTCTTCTTCTTCTTCTTCTTCTTTTCCTTCTCCTTTCTCCTTCTCCTCCAATTACTCTAGAGCAAGCACACTTAATGCTAGAGTTTTTTCAGTGTGGCTCCCAAAAATAATTGTGCACATTGTTGACGTGACTAGTCTATTCAATCCATTTTAACCTCGGGGGTATCACATCCTCTCCAACTACTCATATCACTATTCAACTATGGGGGTATTACATTCTCCCCGGCATAAGAATACAACGTCCACGTTGCACCCAATGATCTATCAACTGCTAGGTCCCTCAATAGTCAGATCAACGACGGTAGGCTGTCGCAGGTCGGCTATGATACCAACTGTGACACCCAGCCCTCAAGTCAAACAAAGTTGAGTGTATCAGAATCATAGACTGGCCTCACAGGTCAACACGGGTCCTTTCCCAGTGCCCTTCTGTCCTCACTCACGTTCACCCTGGGAGACTTTCCAAGGGTCACCCATCCTTAAATTATTTTGGAACAAGCACGATTAACTCTAGAATTTTTTCAATAGGGCTCTCGAAAAAGAATGTGCACATTGTTGACATGAGTAATCTATTCAATCTATATTAACCACTATTCAACCTCGGGGGTATCAGATATTTTCCGACTACTCACATCACTATTCAACTCTAGGGGTATTACAATAATGATATGAGGATATAATACCCCCAGGTTAAATAGATTGGACAAACTATTCATGTCAACATGGTGGCCTCGGTGCTTCCAATAAAAATACTCTAACACCACAATTTCCGCGTAGCAAGTGGTGCCGAGGTCGATCCACAAGGAATGTGAAGTTTAATTTCTGTTTTGTCACAATTTCAAATATTGGGGGGAATCTAGATTTCAAAAAGATTAAACTTCTAGCCCAATGAGTGAACAATAAAACCGGATTAAAGATTCGATCATTGATTTTAAATAATCTCGTTATTCAATTGGTTATAGGCTTTAGATACGATCATAACGCCCAATTTTTCATTACTTTATTGGTGGCAATGGTACGGCCGATTAACCGCATCCCTAATCAAAGAAATAATCTAGGTACGACCATAAATTAATTTCCTCAATTGAAAATAGCCCGAGAAAAACTTAATTCAAATATTCAATAAATTACGAAAATATTAAATTATTTGGACTTCACTAGTTCAGCTCAAGAAAGAAATATTGTCCAAGACGCCGTTCCAAAACAACTTCGAAGAGCTGTTCAACACCCTGAAGATCTTAAGGCCAACACTGGCGGAACCAATTATGCAAGATTGGACATTTGCTGAAATTCTGCATTCAGATAGGAAAGAGATCATTAGTGTGGAGCATGTTACTAGAGAAGAAGAGCGAGCTGACATATTGACCAAAGCATTACCACGAGTCAAGTATATCGAGATGAGAAGTCTATTGGGGTTGAGGAATCTTGGCTTAAGGGGGAAAAATGATGAAATAATTCTGATTTTATTAGTGTGGTCAAAAGAAATTCAATTTGGTAATTAACGGTGGAGTAATTGAGACATAATTGGTACATTTGAATATGTACAATTATGTCTCCATTAGTTTTTAGAAGTTTCAAGTTGTGCATTTAGTTTTGGTTTATGTATTTGATTTTCATTATTAAAGAAAACAAGAGTGAATTCTAGAAAACAAAAAAACAGAGTGAATTCCAGAAAACGAAAAAACGGAGTTTTGCTATTCTTCTATTCTTCTATTCTTCTTCCTTGTATTTGTCTCATGTTTTTGGTGTGAATCTTAATTCCAATCTAGGTGAGTGCCAACACGCCGAGCAGCAGTGTTAGTAGAGATATCATTGTGAAGACGACATATATAAATGCTTCATTTGCAGGAACATTCGAAAGAAACAAGTCATTCAAAAGACTTTTTTAAATTTAAAATAGAATGCAAATAAATAAAACAAAATGCGGATAAAGTTTGCGGATGTATTTGTTTTTGCAGGGGTAACTCTTTCTCCGTGAATATCTTCAATGACAGAGACAATGATGATATGCCAGCAGGTATATATGATTTTATTCACTTCGGATTTTATAAATAATGATTTGTTTAGATTTATTTAGCTTTAACGGTATAAGTGTTGATATTTCAAAATCCATTTATTTTGTTTTAACTTTTGAAGATTTTGCATAATTAAATGTCTTTAAAAATTAAATGAAAGCTTAGTATTTGGAATCTATTAATATATAATATTTTTGTTTTAAAAAAAAAAGTAAAAATAAACCATAGGTTTCTTCATGCACTCATGTCGGGTTGGGATTATCTATCTAAATTTATTCAGTTTAACAGGTTCACCCAATCAAAATTAAACACGTGTGTATTTATTTGTTTATATTTTTTTATTTTGTTAAAAATCAAAATCTAATTAATTTACCAAATATTTGCACAATAGTCCATATCATTTCCCTCCTAATTCTTTCATTCATATTTCTGTGTTCTGCAAATTAATTTTACCATCAGACCCAATCCTTCTCTATTCTGGCGTTCTCCAAATCGACTTCACCTTCCTACCCAGTCCTTCCGCCTCAAGAAAATTGGGTAAATTTGGACCGATGATCCCAAGCCGTGTTTACTCGAACGCGACTTGTGTTGCCTTTGACTCTTGTGTAGTGTTCCGTGTCTTGGGGCCCTAACCCTGAGATTGAATTGTTGCTTTTGTGTTCACATCGCCGATCGATCACCGGCATCTTGCTTGCATTCCATGGACGCAGCGCCGGTAGGGTTTTCTGCGCTTCCGTCTGGGGAGCCGGATGATGTTCAGAATTTCGAGGCGTCCGTGGCGGCGGTGGAGAGATTAATCAAATACCAATTTCGTGACATGAGGCGTCTCGAAGATGCCTTGATGCATCCCTCCTATACAGACTCTTCTCCTATCAGCGACTCGAATTTGTAGGTGATGCCGCTCTAGGTTTGGCTATATCCAATCTTGTTTTCCTGCAGTACCCCGACGCCGACCCCGGCAAACTCTCGTTGGTGCCAGCAGCCAACATTAGCACCGAGAAGCTTGCCCGCGTCGCCGTCCACCACCAGTTTTATAAGTATGTTCGCCGTAACGCTGTTGTTCTTGACGAAAAGGCAATTTTCTTTTCTTTCTCTGTTTTCTGTGAAGAAATTTAAGGCTGCTCATTTGCAACTGGAATTTAATTTTACAAGGTTTAGATATATATATATATGATTTCTTCCGATCTACAAATGCAACGTCGTCTTCCTCTCTTTCTTTTTGTGGTTGTTTATACACAATTGCAATTTTAGTACATAGTGCTGGAGAATGCGTCAAATAACCATTGAAATGAGGGAATAGTCTCGTTGTATAAAAGTGCTGCGCCAAAAACCACTGTTTGTTTGTGGTGATTAACACCAACAAACAAGGCCAACGGACGATTTTCCCTAATCTTTCTATACGTAGTGTCGAAAGAAACTACATCTCTAAAATCAATATAATCTGCTCGCATTCTCCCGTCAGCCCAAAATATGTTTGTAATCATACCATCTTCATTCACTTGAATAGAATACGAGAAATTTGAGTCTCTACTTGGCATTCCTTGCAAATGTTCTAACACCCCTCCAGTATCTCCCACCTCCATGTACTTTGTCCTCTTCGATCGCAAGTAATTTTTAATGTCTTGCCTTGTAAATCCCAAGTTATCCCGACTACCGGCTTCCTTAACCATTAAATCATGTGATAGTTTTGGAGCAAGTCCCACATGTTCGGATATTTCAATTTGCGCAGCATGGACCTCGTCTATCCTCCTATGCGACGGGAAAAAATGAGTCTTCTGAGGACTAGTGAGCTGATGAGTGTATTGAGAAATAAACTCAAACACTTCGTATTTCTCATTATCTTTCAATCGAATTCTCATCATTTCCTTACACCCGAATCTTGTTATTGCCCGAGGAGCTCTTGTATTATTATTTCTTTTATCTTCCCCCTTGTACCTTCGGCACTGCAAGAAAACATTCTAAATTTTATCCTTCTTGTTCGATCTCTATGCATTTTATGTCTTTTTATGCCAAAAACCTGTTTTCCTGGCATATGCTAAGTAAAACTAAGCGTCTTCTTCATTGTCAAATTCCTTTCCAATTTGAGGTTTTTCTTCAATAGAAATATGATGATTATATGGTTGATCATCATTTTCATATTCGTAAAGTCCAATCTACGTGAAGAAGAAGATTTATTCATGTCTGACTTGTCAATCTCCATTATCTGTAATTTAAAAAATTCAAACAAACATCATTTAAAAATTCAGCCAACATCATTTAAAAAGACTAATAATTTATCACAACAAAAAACTAAAAAATTAACCTATCCACTTTTGCACAAAATGCCAATATAAATCAATAATAATCCATAGAGTAGATGAGTGAACAAATTCTACTGAAATAATACTACTATAGAAATTTAGAGAAAAGTAAAGTCTTAACTTCAAACTTATATAGACTTTATTAAAGATCAAATACAAGACCTACATTTCCAATCCTCTGCGGACATTCATCGAACACTTGCTAAAATATTTCACAATTTTTAAAAATTATTATTGATTATTTTTCTATCCCATCTGAAGAGATTGTATGCAAATTAAATAAAATAATTGTGCTGTGTTAAGATATATAGATACAGTATAATAAAAATAAAAAGATAAAAAAAACCCTAGAGTGGGAAGAAAAAAAAAAAAGAGAAAAGTGGAAAAGAAAAACAAAATATAAAAAAAAAATTACCTGTTGTAGTTCTCTTGGCGGCGGAATGACTGGGTCAGAAGGTGAGTTGATTTGGAGAACGCAAAATAGAGAAAGATTGGGGTCTGAGGGTAAAATCGATTTGCAGAACATAGAAAAATGAATGGAAAAATTTGGAGGGAAATGATAGGGACTATTGTGCAAATATTTGATAAATTAATTAAAATTTGATTTTTAACAAAATAAAAAATATAAACAAATTGGGTGAACCGGTTAAACTGGGTAAATTTAGACCGATGATCCCAATCCAACTCAATGGAATTTAATTTAATTCATTTTTATTGATGTTGAGTTTTGGCGACCGTGACCCACATCTGGTGCATACCCCGACCCGGTGACCCAATTTGCCCCAGGATGCCATCTGATCCGTTCATTCTAGGGTTTTAATTCTAGTTGTCTATCCATTCATATATATATTTATATATGAGTGTCGCTTTCATTCCGAGACATGCGCAGCCGCCTGTATTAATACAGTTCTCTCTTCTCGTTTGGGTTCGCTCTTCTCGGATTGCTTGAGATTTCCGGTGAGTCTAGTTTGTGAGAGGCAATTATTCCGTGGATATTTGTGGAGAGATTAGTGATTTTTTTAGGTCCGATTTTCTCTATTTCGAGTTGTTTCACTTGGGATTAGGGGATTAGGGTTCTTTGGATAGGATAGAGGCGCTCCGGTGCCGTTGGACCGAGTTCGAATGTCCGGTGTTTTTGCCTCCTTTTGTTAATAAGGGTTAGCGTTATAAATTTGAGCCACAAATCGGAATTCTTTGTTGGTGTTTGATTACTGCTTTGTGTGTTTAGATGTTCTACAAAATAAAATCTTTATTTAGATTTTTTTTTTATTGTTTTTCATCGGTATCCAAAAACTTACACAACCTACATGAAATTTAATTTTTAAATATTCTTTATAAATATAAGATGTTCTTGATACTATAAAATTGATGTGAATCGATTCATTCTACTTTTGATTTATTTTTAAAATCCAAACATTGCACTAGCATGATGAGAATGGCTTTGCTTTAAAACTGTTAATGGTTTCATACAAACTGCAGGCATTGCCCGAGTATGAATGCTTCTGTGGTAAACAATGCCACAGGATGCATTCACCTCTTTGGAAGTTTCTGGCCGACGGCAATTTGAAGCTTCCCAAAACTGTTGTGAAGATTTTGAAGAAGAAAGTTAAGGAAAAAGCTTTAACGCCGAGCCCATATTAATTACAGTGCAGCTCTCACTCTCATCGATATTCGGACTTCTCGAAGATAAACGGGTGCGAGTTGGTCATTTTACCTCTCTCTGTCATCCTACTGCACATTAATAATTGCAGTGAAAAGGTGGTGATGGGTCTTTATCCTAATTGGGTATTGTATAATTTCTTGTCAACGAAAGACAATAGTAAGGATATAAAGCAACAGAGTTTTGAGTTGAGAAGATGGCAGCGGGGTGCATGAAGCCATCCACCTGGGTTGTTGGCTCCGATGGCATTGCTTTTTCACAAAGTTTGTTTATGTTTTTGCTTAGTTCTATGAATTTTTCGAGCTTGATTTTGTAAATGCTTCTTGAATTGAATCTTCGTCCTTTAACTCATTTTAGTTACATTTATGTGAATCTGGATTTGAGCTCTTGATATGTAATTTGTGGGCCACTATGCTTTCAATTCTTTTATCTTAACTTTTTTTGCATTTCTTTTTAAATAACATCTCAAGTTTCTATCGGTATCCCAAATACACAAATATATTTTTAGGTACTTTTAAAATTTTGTCTTCAATAAATTAATACAAACTGTCTTCATAAAAAGAAACAACTAAGCATATTTATTTACCTTCCACACCAGCCCCTAATTACTGCTGCCATTACTAACACAAAATGCGTTCTTCCTCCTACCCCTCCAAACCTACACAACAAAAAAAACCTACCCCAATTCAACTTGGAGTGCAGAAGTGCAGAATTATAAAAGTATAAACAAAAGAGCACACTCAAATACGACCTCATACCAGCACCATGTTCGTATCTTTTCATCGGTGTTTGTACCAAGGTTGAAGCTGATTTGCCTATACCATCACTAATGCTTTGGAAAGCCTTTCAGAAACTACAATTTAGATCAAAAGCCGTGTTAGACAAATTGCTGGTCCTGGGAATAGCATATTCTTCCTTTACTGCAGTATTCTTTTTCAAATTAAGTGAATTCAGGGGAAGAAGTATTTCTTTTCCGAACATCACAAATATTGAATGGTGATGATTAAATATTAAGGGGAAAAAAATTGCACAAGACAACTATAGCGAAAATTTAGTAAAAGAAATTAGGATATTATAACCTGTTGGATTCCTTCTTGGGCATCATTCGGTTTATTTGTTCTTACAATTGTTCCAGTCTGCTTTCTACGTGGCACGGTACAGAAGATGGATGCTTGCAAGAATATATAATCTGCCTGTAGGAGGATTTATGGGCTCCTGCTGCCAAGAAGTTGTCAAGAAAGTTCTCAGAAGAAGTTGTCCAATGCCTATGTAATAGCACAATGATTCTCATAATTTTAGTGTATGAAATTAAATGTGTATAATTGTGTGTATCTTCTATTAATAGGAAGTGTATTGTATTATATATAAGGATTGATCAATAAAATAAACATATCAAAGTAATCATACTATGCTTGTTGGATCATTTTTAAAAAAAAAAAAAAAGAAAAAAAAAACAACAAATCATGTCATCCAAAAATAGACAAAAATGAAAAGGGCGGAGGAATAGACTCAGCATAAATAGCCCGAAAAGTATGCATTCTACATTGTATATGTAGTAACAGTAAAATCCACATTGGTGTCTCCTCAATTTGACAAAAGAACAATCTAAAGTTATTCACAACAATAAGTATTTATACTCAGTAACTATAACATTAGAGTAGGAATAAAAAATTGTACATGATTATTAATCTTTGAGTAAGAGAATAACAAAAAGCACAAACCAAGCAGAGGCTTTCATGCTTCCAGTAAGCTAAATTGAAGAGACATGTCAACGGAAAACTTTAATAAAAGTGCATCTGAGTTTATGAAGTAGATTATTGAAACTTCATTGAATTTAAAGGTAAAATTATACTAAATAATTTTAAGTGTGGAAAGTGGACTATAGATGAAGTGAGGTAAGTGGTGATCGAAGTGCATAATGGGTTCGCGTGGCGATGGAGGTGAGATTGTTGAATGAATGTTCACAATCTCGCGTAGGTGTTTATGGGTGAAGTCGATTAATTTTTATTGAGAGTGATAAGTTTGTAAGCAAGCATAAATAGTAACGGATGATCTCTCGGGATGAGAGTATATGTGATATATGTATAAATTTCGTAGGGAGAGTGACGCATGCAAGTTGATATATAAGACTTCTGTTTGCTAATGAACTTCTATAG